TGCACTTATTAGCACAGGATTGTTGCAGACGCGGAAATCTTTAATGACTGCAGGACTTCAAGTTGGCACCACCTCAGAAGTTTTTTCCTACGTCCATCCAATAATTAGTAGCGTGCCTTTGACAAATTTTCCAACCACAGGATCCTTATTTTTTACTTTTCATGGTAACGGATTTGGTGAATTTGGCGCTACGATTCGTGGGAGGATGGAACAGTCTTCTTCGGAAAGCTCAGTTTGGATTTCCGACACAAGTGTGAGAGGATTTTCTAATCATGGGTTAGGACATTCTAAGAAAATCTATGTAACATCTTCTCAATCTGGCACTACTTCCTTTTCGCTCTCATTTGATGAACCCAGTGTGAGCGTCAATATTGCGCAAAATGCTCCAAGAACAGGAAGTGTCAGTTTAACATTTTATGGAAGCAGTTTCGGATCGTTTGATGCAACTGTAAGGGTAAGATCTTTGTACACATCTTACGAAAGTACGCAATGGAGTGCAGATACTTCAGTTCGAGCCTTAGCCCCAAATACCTATGCATTTACTCACCGACTTCGCTCTACTGTAAATCTTGTAGTTGGAACAAGCACTGAAATGGTTTCAGCTGATTTACCTGCAATATCTACGTTGCACAGAGGAAATTTTGGTTTTTTCACGATACACTCAGTCACAATACTTGGACAAAATTTCGACGCAATTTCTACGTCGCAATCAGGGAGAATTGGTTTTACTTCCTTTCCTGCAACTATGTGGGTTTCAACCTCCGACTTGCAATGCAAATCGTCAAATTTTGTTGGAGGATCTAGGCTAATTGCGGTTACATCTGAAAACAATTTGGGGACAATAACATTTGCATTCTCTTCTGACAGGCCAGTATTTAGTGGTGTCCATCCAACGAATAGAGCATCCACTGGAACAGCCTCTATCACCATTTTTGGAGAATCCGAATTTGGAAGAGTTTCATACAGCCAATTCTCGAAAGTTGGTTCAACTTCTTGTGAATCTACGTCGTGGATGTCATCTACGAATGTGCTTTGCCTGGTTTCCAGCGGTGGTGGACATTCAAAGCGAATTGAAATTACAGCATCGGAGCAAGTGGACACGACAACAAACATTTTTTCCTTTCAAGTTCCGTCGTTGAGTACTACATTCCTCACGAATGCAGCACAAGCAAATACTACTACCATTCTGATTGAAGGTTCTTCTTACATGGTTTACAGTTCTTCCGCTCAGATTCGAATCGGTTTCACGCCTAGTGAAGCGACAATATGGACTTCAGATTCTGCAATTTCTGTTCGATTCGAATTCGCTACAAGGAGCTCACAACGAATTGCTGTAACTGCACATTTGAGTCTTGGAACCTCAACTGAAATGTTTTCGTTCGATACTTCAAGCGCATCATCAATTCATAGATCAAATTCTATTTCAACAGGTTCTATCAGTGCTACTGTTTTGGGCGCTCAGTTCGATTTGTATTCTTCAAGCAATGCAGCGAGAGTCCTTGGAACATCATGTGAAAGCACTGAATGGAGGTCTGATACTGCAATTCTCTGCTTCTTCTCGCAAGGCAGTTCAAAAAGTGGTCAGGTTTCAATCACAACTTTTGAGAGCGTTGGGAGTGTTTCCTTTGCTATATCATACCAAATTCCACTACAGAGTGCCTCCCAGACGTCTAATCAGCATGCAACTGGTACTGTCAGCCTTACGGTTCAAGGGCTTGGGTTCGGTCTTGACTCGACATTCACTCCAACAATCTCGCTTAGCGGAACTGCGTGCGAGTCCAGTACCTGGCAGTCCGACACAAGCGTGGTCTGCTTGGCCTCTGGCGGAGCAGGGAAGACAAGACGGATAGCCAGTACGATCATGGAGGTAGTAGGGAGCTCGACACAAATGGTTTCCATAGATGCTGCGGGCATTTCGCGCATGCTGCGCGCCAACGCACCAAGCACGGGATCGATGAGTGTGACTGTGTTGGGAAATGGGATGGGTCTTTATGATTACACGATCCGTGCCCACGAAGGTCAAACCGGATGCGAGTCGACGAGCTGGATGTCTGACAGTAGCGTGAGGTGCTTTGCAGGAGCAAGCGTGTCAACCACCCATCGGTTTCTTTTAAGTCTCGAAGTAAACGTTGGAACGGCAACACAGATGTTCTCCGTCGAGAGGCCCGCACATTCAACCTCGATTTTCTCAAACCAGCATGCAACTGGTACTGTCAGCCTTACGGTTCAAGGGCTTGGGTTCGGTCTTGACTCGACATTCACTCCAACAATCTCGCTTAGCGGAACTGCGTGCGAGTCCAGTACCTGGCAGTCCGACACAAGCGTGGTCTGCTTGGCCTCTGGCGGAGCAGGGAAGACAAGACGGATAGCCAGTACGATCATGGAGGTAGTAGGGAGCTCGACACAAATGGTTTCCATAGATGCTGCGGGCATTTCGCGCATGCTGCGCGCCAACACACCAAGCACGGGATCGACGAGTGTGACTGTGTTGGGAAATGGGATGGGTCTTTATGATTACACGATCCGTGCCCACGAAGGTCAAACCGGATGCGAGTCGACGAGCTGGATGTCTGACAGTAGCGTGAGGTGCTTTGCAGGAGCAAGCGTGTCAACCACCCATCGGTTTCTTTTAAGTCTCGAAGTAAACGTTGGAACGGCAACACAGATGTTCTCCGTCGAGAGGCCCGCACATTCAACCTCGATTTTCTCAAACCAGCATGCAACTGGTACTGTCAGCCTTACGGTTCAAGGGCTTGGGTTCGGTCTTGACTCGACATTCACTCCAACAATCTCGCTTAGCGGAACTGCGTGCGAGTCCAGTACCTGGCAGTCCGACACAAGCGTGGTCTGCTTGGCCTCTG